CAGCTCATTTATCAAGCAAATCCAATAACAGTTTAATGGCTGTGGCATAAAGAGCTACAGGATCAAAACCCCTTAATTATGGCATTTCACTTTGGGCTTCATGCATTAGTGGCATACAGCATCAGCTCACACACTATGCTGGCATCTAATGGAGGCATAAGTGATCAGAAAGCTGAGACACACAAAGCTATGGCAGACTTTCACTTCAAACAGACAATATGGCACATTATCTTTGAGCAAAGCTCACACCTTTCACACTTTAATGTACATTACTACTATAGATGGAAGATAAAGTCAGCTATGTTGAGTTGTTGCATTAACTTACCATTAAGTGCAGGATCCAGAAAGTACAGGATTTATATGTTTAGAAACCAAGTAGCCATCTAGTGGCCGTAAAAGGCATTCTGATAGTGATAAGATGCAATAACAGTCTATGATGCAAAAGAATGGAGTGTAGAAATCAATAATTCATGCTGTGTGTTCCTACAGTGCTGTAACTCACCAGCAAACACAAATCTGTGAGCCAGTACAGTCTCAGTGAGCACAAATCTACAGTCAGAGGAGCTGGGGCTGGTTTCACAAACGCTGGATATAACCCAAGGTTGAAAAGTTCAACATCAGCGGTTTCTTCCATGGCAGAGTCTCAGCAAGGATACGGTGCACATACCTGTTTTTAAAATTAAACCTCTTTCTCTGAGCTGCATGGGTGTGCACAGGCTGACAGCCTGTTTATCCTGTTGCTCATGCTTGCTTAGACACACACCCATAACACACCCATAACATTTAGAACTGCAAGAGATGTGGCCACATGTTACACTCTTCAGCCACAACACCTGAAAACAGCTCTTGGTATCACTGCATGAGTGACAGCCATGATAAGAGGAGGTCAATGGAAAGGTGTTTATTTGTTAATATTAATAATAATAATGTCTCTACATAATTTCTTCTGGAAGGAATATTCAGAGTGACACATCATTCAGCTAGGTGTGAGCTGCCTTTGGGGGGTTTTTGCTGCAACTATGCTTTGTCCTCTGCTCAGGATGAAATTGGGTGGAACTACTGAGAATTTATGAAATTCTAAGGACCTACATGTTTACTAATGAAATAGGCTACCTGCCCCAACAGGTGTAACAGAACTAATAGCAGCCACAAAGAGTTGTGAACACAGCAATCAGCGCTCACACACCCACACAATTCCTAGAAAGATCTAATCTAGTAGAACGGGTGGAAAGAGGTGTGCGATGCCTAGTCTACCACACCGCAGCTGACCTCTGACATCTTTAATAAAGTGACACCTGAAGGAGGTTTGTGTGTCTTTTACAACACTTGTGCAGCCCACAGGTGCATTCCCAGCAAAGTTTGGAGTTAAAAGGCAGAAAAAGAAGAAGAAAAAAAGCCAGCTGACGATCAGGTTTTAGGATAAAAACAACCAATGAGCAAAAACATGTTTCTACCAATTCTCTAAGACATGGTGATTGTCAAATCAGCCCCAGACAAAGAGCAATACTGCTTTCACATTAGATTTTAAATTACAAATCCCAGGGCGGCAGAAGCAGGATCTTCTTGTGCCATTTAGAAATTTGGGGTGTGAGGAAGATCAAAAGAAAATGCCAAAAAAATGGCAGCAATTCAACAAACTATCACTTTTACACAACTATGTGATTTCACAGCTGTCCAAAAAGTTTAGTAGCATTCACCTTTGATCATCGTCAGCTACGGGCAGCATTCTGCATGCAGCTTTGTTAACAGTGTTTTCCAATCTTTCGTGTAAGTTTTAAGAGCTGTGAAGAATGCCACCACGTTTCCATTAACATGCAATTGTGAAAATAAGCCTGCACGCACAAGGGATTTGCTAACACAGGAAGTTATTGGGATGATGATTAAAATATCTCGAATTGTGTATATAAACAAAGTGGTTCCATGAAACAAGCCGGAGAAACATGATCTGGACTTAAGAGTACATGGTGAGCTGCAGCCACTGAAAAGACACAAAGAAGAGCAAAGAACAAAACAACCAGTCAAATACTTTAAAATGGTCTGAACTGAAGTCAAAAGCCACTGATACAAACAACAACTGAGATTAATTTACCTCTTGAACATTAACTTTGATGGTCCCGTTGTTATCCTTATCCAAGGTTTTGAAGGCACCTGATTCAGAACAGGTATTAAACTTCCGAGTCAATCATTCCTATCACACTAAACTATAAAGAATTAATTTAGTGATTGGTCTTTTAAATGAAACTTACGGCACATTGCATCCAGCCTTACGAGACAGCCAATGTAGTTGTCAAAATCCATGTTTCCATTTTCATCGCTGTATCTGCGAATGATCATCTGGTACAGCTGACCATTGAGAGGGAAGCCTAACGAAGAGACGCACAACTGTGTGTTACAATTAAGCAGTACAACAACAGGTACATGTGCATTATGTCTGGATAAGGCTGTGCTGCTTATATCTAGGGATGGATATCGTTTAGGTTTTATCCGATACCGGTGCCAAACCTGTACTTTTGAAACGGTGCCGGTGCTTAAA